TCTCTCTCTCTCTCTATCTATCTATCTATCTATCTATCTATCTATCTATCTATATATCTATCTATCTCTCTCTCTTTTAATATGCACCGCGCTCATTTAAGGTAACTCTTGACTACGTGGTACTACTCCAAATTAAATGCAATGAACATGACTAGAAATAGACGTACCGAACCACTAGCTCACGTAAGGACATGGCGCGTTGTCATGTGCAGCACAAACGACAACGGAGGATAATCGGAGGTGCAAAAAAGGATGGACCGTCCACCTAGCAACAACGAATTTGACAGAGAGAGAGATGGAGGCGCTCACGCGGTTGCGAGTGGAACTTGGGAATAGCCACGTCATAGCAAGTTCGTTCAACGAAGACAGAAAAAAAGAATTAACGATGACAGTTAACGATTTTAGCTTGCTAATGGTGGAAAAGAAGTGGCTGAACTCGCAGATAGTAAATTTTTATCTAATGAGTGTCGTGTGAAGCACGTTAATTGCGACTCGAAGAGCGAAAACGTGGTTAGAACTGGGAAGGGGCGCATTCCTACAATAGCAGTGCTAAGCTCTTTTTTTTTTTCGAAACTATTTGATAGCGATATGAAGTTCCAGTACGAAAAGGTTAAAATGTGGTTCACAGAGATCGTGATCAGCGACATGGATTTGATCATTGCACCTTTCCACGTCGCGCACAACCAGCATTGGACACTCGTAGTGGCAGACCTACGGCGTAGGCTACGGCGTAGGAAAATAGAGTACTACGATTCGCGGACGGCGGATCGTGAACTCGCGGCGAAGGTGACAGGGGGGGTTGCAAGATTTTTGTACATGAGGTCGGTCGAACAAGGCAAAGAAATCGACACTGCTAACTTCAACCATATATGGGAAGTGGAAGGCATTCCGAAGCAGCGYGACTTCAACGAGTGCGGTGTCTTTATGCTGACATATGCATCACTATTGGCGAGAGGGTTTCTTCCACCTTTMAGGTTCACATCAGATGACAYGAAGAAAATACGATGCCGGATAGCTTYCGACGTAGCTGTTGTGGAGTAGACGAATTTGTTCCTTTTACATTATAGATGTTCAAACAAATGTGAAACRACCATGTTGTGATCACAACTAGACCTGATATATGATAAAATGAGTTTGTAAGTGTAACGAGGATTAATAATGCGGTTCATGATAAAATGTGACGGATCGTGTCAGAAGTACAATTTACGAGAGGTCATCGTAGGTCTTACCTCTTACACCTCTCCTCCTTACCCCTTACCCCTTACCTGATAACCCTTACGCCTTACCCCTTTACCGCTGACCCCTTACCCCTTACCCCTGACCCCTGACCCCTTACCCCTGACCCCTGACCCCTTACCCCTTACCCCTTACCCCCCTTTTTCGTAGCTCAAAATTACACAAAATATGAAAAAAAAAGGCAAAAAATCTGAGTTTCAATTTCGTTCAAAAAATAAAAAATGTCCGTTTTGACGAAATCGTAGTTAGAAGGGATAAGTTCTCATTGGTCGGCTCACTCCCTCAAGGCTCATGCTCAGAGTGTCTCTCAGACTTCATGCCCAATGTGAGCACTGAACAGCTGTATTAAATCTATTAAATGACTCCTTCACATTTTCAGCAAGGTGGTTCACACAATTTTTATTTTTTTTTACAAAACAGTACATTATGTCATTATTGAAAGTGACGCCATTGTGCTGGAAACCGGGTCCAGCGTCCCATATCCAATCTACTCTTCCATACCTATCCTGCAGCAGGGTCGGGTATTGTGGGGAGAAACACCGGGGGGCACCAGTGTAGTCTCCCTCCATCCCCTAGTCCCTGCCATCCACCTACTATCCTCATGGCGCCTATTGTGTCTTTGCTGAACACTAGACTCTTTCCTGAGAATGCACTGAGAAATTTATGCTGAGAATCGGGCTCAGCGTCCCAAGGTGGTTCACACAATGGAATGACTCCTTACTATTTTTTTTCTGGAACTGCATAAATTTATGAATGGGAGCAAAGATGTAGCGCCACGAGTCACACACCAGTCACACGTAGCGGCGGTATCGCAATTGGTTCTTCCATACCCTCATGCTCATGCTACCCTAGTGGGAGCACACGTCGGCTACCAAGGGACACTAGGCCACTTTTCTTT